AAAGTAATAGTGGAAGTACCTCCAGTAGCAGCCAATATTAACAAGTTGTAACACCAGAATTAGTATTCATAGCCTTGCGATACTTCAAGACTTAACCAAGGATCTTTGCTGGAATGGTAGACTAGTAAGACAGCGGAAGTCTTAGAACTTGTAAAATGTTGACCAAAATTTTATGCAGAACAAGTTAACAATTGAAATTGTACAAGCTACTTTAATATCAGCTAGAAGTACCTATTCGGTAATGTACCTATTCGAGCTATTTGCGCTATGCGCTCTAACCGCTACTGAAAAGAGCGCGACTGTTCGTGTGACTGAAACGACTTGCTGACGTAATCATCCAGACGAGCGCTATTTGCTGACGTCATTCTACGGATGCTAACTACAGTGTAACTCGACAATATCGGAACTACTAACAGACATGCTTAAGTACGATTTTATCACAACATATATCAGGGTGTTTTCCAGGGGTCGGCCTAATTTTTCAGGTTTTGATGTTCCCTTGCACTGATTTCTAGGGGCCCTCTTTTTGCAAGGCCTGATTAATAGTGTGTTCTTGTTACGCGTACCCTGATTAATCAGCCTTTTCGAAATTTCGGCCTGAAACCGAAAGTCCGACCTCTGAGGCAGGGGTCCGAAGACCAGTCAACAAGAGTACAAAAGAGACAAGAGCAAACCAGCGTGGCACTTCTAGTCCAGCCATTGGAAGAGAAGCCACAAGGCCAGTCTGGAAGAGAGAATCTACAGGAAGTAGACCAAGCTGCAAGCAGTGCCGCTGATGATATTTAGGCGCAAACGCCTTAGTAAAGATATCAGCTGTGTTGGCACCAGAGGACAAGTGTAGTATGCAGGCCTGGCGATGCTGCTGTAGCTCGCACCGGAGGAAGTACTGCAGCTGGATGTGCTTTGCTCTGCCCTCAAGTCGAGACTCCGAGGATCATGGCCCTGTTGTCAGCGTACCAAACCGGGGCAGAGCTAGGCCGCTCACCAAAGTAGGTGAGCAAGAAGGTCAGCCAGCGGAGCTCCTGTGCCACCATGGCACCGGCAAAAACCTCAGCCTCACAGCTAGACGGGGCAATAGACGAGGAGCGAGTGGACCTCCACGAGATGGCACCTGAACCAAGGCTAATGTAGTAGCTTTGGGAGGACCTTTAGGGTCTCAGCGTCATCAGCCCAAGAAGCGTCTGTGTGCCCAGTAGGGACCACTGGCCGGCGTCCTCCCAACACTAACCCCATGCCCGATGTACTTGCTAGATAACGCAAAACCCTCTTAGCGGCCGACCAGTGTTGTGGTCGGTGTCTGCCTGTGGCCACAAAGCGAGCCAGGATGCTGAGAGGGTATGCGAGATCTGGGCGAGTGCAAGTCATCAGGTACATGAGGCAACCCACCAGCTCTGTGTAAGGACCAGTGGGCTCTAATACCTCCTCAGGAACTGGAGCCGAGAGCCTGTGATCTCCTGGTCCGTCCGAGCGCTTCAGCGTACAAGTGAAGGTCGAATGATACGCGTGCCAATCCGTTTCTGTCAGTGCCACATAGCCCCGCGTGTGATCCTCCCCGAGTTCTCAGCTGCTTGGCTCCGTGAACATGACAAGCAGGTCGACATCGGCGCAAAGCAGCTCGTTGCGAGTTGCTTCGAGTTCGCTACCACACCCTCGCAATCCACCGCGAGTTTCTGCTCGAACGTCAGAGGCCCCTCGCAGCCCCTACTGAGATGCTGTGATTTCGCAGCTGCCGCCTCGAAGCCCATCGCGAGACGATTCTCCCCTCCTGCCTCTACCTTGCAGCCCATATCGCGATGCACTTTTGTCGCCACCTCGCCATCGAAGCCCTCTGCGTAGTTCGGTTCATTCATCGCCGTGGCCGCGCAGCCCCCCGCACGATGCTGCTCTGTCATCGCAGTCGCAGCGGAGCCCACCGCGCGATGCTGGTCGTTCGTCGTCATCGCAGCACAGCCCTGGGCGTGACGCCGTACGCATGTCACCATCGGTGCGCCGTCCATCACGTGATGCTGGACGCCCCTTGCTGTCCCAGCATAGCCAAGGGCGAGACGCCGCATGCATGTTGCCGTTGGCGCGCAGCCCATTACGTGATGCCACACGAAGGTCGCCGCCACAAGCTCGTGGTCTGCACTGTGAAGGCTGTCCCGCTGCTGACTCTGCTGCCATCGGGATTGGTGGAGTGCGGTCGTCTACACTGACGTCATCTCCAAAACGGACGTATTGCCAGGCATTGCTCAGCTTCCATTTACCGTCTGTTGTCGAAAACCATCCCGCCGCTGTTAGCTTCGCAACAGCACAGGTGACAGTGCATTCGAGAAGGCACCAAATATCTCGCGCTGCGCCAGTAGCATCACCATCGCCGGCACAGTCCAACGGTCGTGTGGGGCACCTGTCCATTCATTCGGTGACAACCATGCCAGTTACCGGGACCCCAACCGCCGGCCCGTCCTCAGCGCCGCCACTGGAGTCGCGCATTCAAGGATCTGATCACAGAGATGAGGAGTTTAGCGAGGCTGCTGAACTATTATATATTCAAGCCCTGCAAATTTTTAAGTCGGATTAGCACGAGCGGTTTCCATGGTTGCTGCTTTGTCGTACTAAAACCGGCCTCCCCTCTCTCAAATGCAGCGTGTGTTCTGAGCATAGTGTGGTCAGAACCAGGTACGGCAGCGAAGGGGAGGGCGTCATGGACGTTCAGACTCAGGCCATGTAGAAGCATGCTCGCACCACACGTCACCAGGCCTGCATGAAATCTCAGCGGAAGGCAATGGAGGTTTCGGTGAAGCAGAAGAGGATCTCTGACTTCCCACAAGCCAAATATCTAGAGAAGGGAAGACTCATCGCACTCCTATGGGTCCTCCATTTCATCTGCCAGTGTGATGCGCCCATTGGTACATGGGTGAAGCTGGTACGCTTCCTTTCCAGACGGAAATGTCCCAGCTTCCCAAAGAAGAGCTACGGGACATAATATACCACGTGAGCTTGCCTGTGCACTCCTGTTGCGGTTCGGACTTCGTGCTTTATGCCCTTGTTGCAAGCTCCCTTTGTATAGCCGCCTTTTCGTCTTCTGACACCAGCAGTTCTTTGTTGACCGTTAGCCTAAATTGCTTCTGGCCCTCCCGCCCATGTTCATGGCAGCTACGGCTTCGCCCAGCTTATGCGCTGCACAACGGGGTGGCTCCATAACTCACAAATGCGCCACATACATGCTAGCCTGTTCATTGGCCTCTCCTGTGACGAGTCGACCGATCGCACCAGGGGGAAACACCTAATCCTTTTTGCAACGTTTATGCGTAATGGCCACATGGTAATTGAGTTTCTAGCGCTGCTTACGTTGGATCAATGTGATGCACCCTCTATTCATGCCCTCATTCAGGAGCACCTATCCAAGATCGGAGTTGCTCCAGAGAAGATTTCAGGCATCAGCACACAGGTATGCATCTCACTGTCCTAGATTTTGACACATGCGTGGTGATCCTGAACACGGCGCCGTTTGCACAAGTCTTATTCCCCGTTGTTGCCTACTGTCCGAGCTCACTCACCCCGGAGCTCACTCACCCCCGAGATCACCTACTACCGTGTTACATGTTGAGTCAAACGCCTTAATTTCTGCCAATCCCCTCCTCACCTTCCTGCAGAGAGGCGTTGGCAGCTAAGGATGTAGCAACAAGTGTACCTGAGCTCGCCATCGTCGACAAGGTCATCCGCACCGTCGCCGAGCTGTTAGCCCGATCCGGCAACTGGCACGCGCGGTTCAAGGAGCTTCAGGACATCTTCACGCAGACCAACCTCGAGATGCAGGGTATTTACAACATAAGCTGGTTGTCTCGAGGTGATGCAGTTGGCTGGCTTGTTGCTCTCCTTCCTGTAGTGGTCATTCTACTCCTTGAGTATTATGACGATATGTACAACATCGTCAAGAGCTACAAATTTCACTTCTACTTGTACTTCCTTGCTGACATTCTCACCTTGTTGAACAGCCTCAATAAAGCCTTTCAAGCCCGGCAGGTCGGTTTGGAGACACGCTATCTAGTTTTGTGGTCTCATCATGTGTGCCTCTCAGCTCTCTGAAGCCCGTTTGCCCTACAGATCGACTTGACAGTGGTGCATGGATTCGTCAGGCGAACGGTGGCGTACATCAAACAGCGATACGTGGAGTGCGGCGCGAATTTCGGCGGAGGCAACTCCCCACTCCTCACTGCATTCATCAAGGCGCACCGAACAAGCCGAGGCGTCATTGTTAAGGGCTGGAACTCCAGCGGCGAGGAGGTGCAGCACAAGTTCGAGCTGCATGACAAAAGCATGGATGGGGACCAGGGCAAGTGCTGCAGTGTCTGCATGCGGTTTGCGAAGGCATCGGCCAAAAACATCATCGAGCGTCTTGGAGACCTCGAGAAGCTCACAGGCTGCAGGCTCGTCACCCCTGATGCCTGGCTGCCTGGGTGGAAGGAGCGCAACTCCCATTGCATGGACTGGCTGCAGGCGCTATTCGACCTCTTCCCGGCAACTGGCAGGAGAGAGGTCTTACCTGGTGAGTTCGCGCTCAGATCATCCCCATGACATTGTGCGTTATACTGTGGTATTGTTAAGAAGCAGGGAGAACCACAGTTAGTACTTGTATCGCGGTGGCTCGCATCCCGCCCGTACCTTGGTTTTCTTGCAGTGATTAAAAGTCTAGCCTTACATGCCTTATTGCACTGCCCTTTTCCCCCACCAACCATGCCCGGCAGGAGTGAACAAGCTGGCAGCAACCAAGGAGCTGCCAGTCCTGATCGCCCTGCTGAAGAAGACACCCGTGGGGGAGCGGAATTTCAACGAAGGGCTTGCTGCAGCGCTGAAAACCAACGACTGGCTGCAAGCGTACCCAAACCTGGGCCGCCTATGGGTGGCAGAGGCGGTGCTGCCCCTCTGCACCATGGAGTGCGAGAGGGGTTTCAGCTGCCAAAACATCATCAAGACCTGGAGCCGTGGCACCTTGAGCAATGCGACACTGGAAGACTTGATGAGTATGGCGCTTCTGGACTACGACCCGGAGTGGGAAGTGGTGGTGAAGGCGTTTCGGAGGAGGAAGAGGAAGCCGTTCTCAACACGGATCCGCCCCCGCTGCCATGTGAAGAGCGTGAAGGGAAAGGAGAAGGTTGTGGAGGACGAGGAGGAGGAGGAGGAGGAGGCAGAGGGGGAGGAGGGGGAGGAGGAGGAGGAGGGGGAGGTGGGGGAGGAGAGGGAGGAGGGGGAGGTGAGGGAGGATGAGGGTGGTGAGGAGATGGAAGAGGACGAGGATGAGGGCTTGGCGGAAGGGGAGAAGTGCAGCAGTGGTGGTGATGACTGGGAGGATGAGTGAGTGAAGCGAAGAGACTATGCTTTGGGGCCCAATCATGTGTTGGCCTATCTATTTTAAGTGAATATCAAACGTTGCACGTTGCCTGACTTGGTAGAAGCAGGAGGAAAGCATACACTAATCAGGGTAGTCAAGAGCGTAGGCCTGGCTAGTCAGCCTTGAAAATTTTTGGGCCTGACAAAATATGCCACTTCCAAACCCCAACCCTGAAAACTATGGGCTGTCACAAGGGTCACCCTGAGGCTTCAGCCCCCCCAAACCCAAACTGAGGGCCTGATCTTGCGTGATCGGAAGACTGACATGTTGCAGATCTGATGTAACGATGTGCCTTGGGCTTCACTCAACAGGGTGCGCCAAGATTTTTGTTTGTTAGCGCTGAAGTGGAGAGAATGACACACCTCGGTAATTTTGCAGTTTTAATTCCGGTGGTCACGGGTTGGGGCGTATTCCTACTTTAGCGCGTTCAATACCACGAATCGCAACTACCAAATTGAACCGCATAGGAGTTCGCGTTTTGACCCTTGGACCTCATTGTTTCGCGTTTCAGACTCAATTTCGGGTTTGCTGGTAATGAACACTGTCCTGTAGGAATACGCCCTTATTCCTTGGACCCTTCTCAGTCGCGGCCTGAGTTACCCGGTGTGAGTGATTTATGCGGCACTCGTGATTTCGTCAATTTAGTGAGCTTTAGGGTACTTTAGGGGCAGCCCAGAGGCTTGGTTAAAAAATTGCGCTACGCGCTGACTACCCAAACGTGAACAGTGTTTGGGCTGCCTAAACAATTCATAGTTGCCCGACATGCGAGTTGAGGTGTCCCAAGCAGGGCTGATGTTATCAGACTATTTAGTCGGATTAGTCTGAAATTTCAGACCCTATTGTTGGCCAAACCTGGATTTCAGATTACCCATTTTCCCAATCCTGATCACTTCAAAGTATGATTTTAGGGATCCTGAAAAAATCAGACTTGTTGCTAACCCAGTACTGAGTTTCCAGAGCACAGCGCGTACAGACCCTGAAACACATGTACCTTCTACCAACATGCGATCCAAAAAATTTCGGCGAAGTCCCTGAACGCTAGAGACATCCCCCACACACCCCACAACCCATAAAAAATTTCGGCCAAGTCTCCAAACGCTAGAGACTTCCCCCACACACCCCACTACCCATCGAAGATTTTGGCTAAGTCCCCGAATGCTAGAGACATCCCCCACACACCCCACAACATATCGAAAATCTCGGCTAAGTGAGGTTATCAGACACAGTCTCCCTAACTCCCCAACCCCAAACAGCCCAAACTTTTGGCTAAGTCATAAATAGATATATAACAGATATGAGGGTGAGCTGCTTCAGCCAAAATATCGGTACTCTAAAACGTCAGAGTCCAGAACTGAGCTTGTCGGATTTTCTCAGGGTCCAGCGAGTACAACAGGAGTAAAAAAAAAAAGAGACGGAAATTTGCAGATCTTTTAAGGGTACTGCCGACGATGCCTTAGTATGAAAATGTTTTTACCCTAGACGGGGAGAGACGAAACAACTATTTTCTAATAGTCGTCCCTTTTTGGGAAATTCTCGTCAGCTGCCCGTTTGGCCAATTGAAAGTCTATCAAAATTCTACGCCCTCGATCGATTGCAATCGTTTCGACATGTTTTGACCGTTCGATTGTCGCTAATGATTAACATCCAAGAACTCCCAACCGGGGCGCTGCAAGGGCGTGAATTTTCTCCCACCGCTCTATTCGCCCAGCTTGCCCCCTCTCCCCAGTTTCGATCCCCCCCTCCCCCTCCATTTTCGATCCCCCCCTCCCCCTCTGTTTCGCTTCCCCCCTTCCATCCGTTTCGATCTCCCCCCTTCCCCTCCATTTCGCTTCCCCCCTCCCCTCAGGGAAGGTTTGTCTACGAGCACTTTTTTTTTTTGCTGAAGGCTCAGAGTGCCTTTTTTTTTCAACGTCAGCGCTGGTCCCAAACACAATCCTTTTCGGAGTAAGGGCTGATGCCACCCTGAGTGGTCGTGCCCCTCTAGTTTTTTGTTTTGTTCTTTCATTTCTTGAACTAATGTAGTGCGGGTATGACACTACCGACATGAAATAAACATTCAAGACGGCAGGTTTTGTAACAGTGCGCATGACTACTTGGGTGAGTGGCAGCCATTAGCAGAAGAAACTGACGACGGGAATCCCCGTCGTGCGCAGGTAGGGGCCAGGTAAAAACTCGTGAAAACAGAAATTCAAGTCGCCGATATTTCGTAGGCGCTACATTCCCCAAAGTGGGTAGGGGGGAAGAGAAGATGTGACATGTCACGTCCAAGGCTTTCTTTTCGTTTTTGGCTACCCTGTAATTTCAAAATAGTTATTCCCCCAAGTCTGACTGGAACACACTTGGCACTAGGGGACTTAGCCGAATCCTTCGGGTTGCGAGGGGTACGGGAGGAATGTTTCTGTTAGTAAGGGACCTAGCCGAATCATCTGGGTTGCAAGGGGTACTACAGGAGCTCTGTCTCTTCCAGTGGGGGACTTCACCATTTTTTTGGGATTGCTCGAGGGCTGAGGGAGGAATGTCGTTGGCAGTGGGGGACTTAGCTAAAATCTTGGGTTGCGAGGGGTATAGGAGGAATGACTCTCGGATTTGGGGAACTTAGTCGGAACTTGCAGGTTGGCAAGGGGAGAAATTATTATAGCGGGGGATCGCATGTGTGATAGTGTAAGGGTGGACTTAGGGTAAATTCCACAACGAGTGTTAGACTCGAGGGTTTAGCGGGAAGATCCGAGGCTGGAAAAAAATTGCCTCGGGTCTTGCGAAAATTGACGGCTCCAGCCAGTCAGCTGTCAAACCGAACGACTAACAAAATCGTGCAAATGAACTTCCACCAATCATAACTTCGTAAATTTCTAGTGGAATCGAAAAGTTCGGCCAGTATAGTTGCAACCCTCCCCTTCCGACAGTTCGTGACTATTCAGCTGCTGCACCATCAAGAAAATTAAACCCGCAGTTAGGTTGTGACAACCCGCGGCTTTTTCGGCCGCGGGTCGACCTCGGGTCTGACACTCGCTGCGGAATTTACCCTTACACAACACTCCCTACACTCGACCACTCTGAAAAAACAGGGTCCCGTATAGATCTAGTTTTTTTCATAAAGGGTAAACAACTAAACCACTTTTTAAAATGAGGGTCCAACACCCACCCACCCCAGCCTTATTTTAAGGGCTGTAAGGGTATTTTTACCCTTATATCCTAAGGTCTAGTCCTCAGTATAAGCAACCTATCCTTGTGAATGTACAGCTTAGTGTCGACCTAGCTGAAACCAGTCTGATGTGCACTGCGTGAGGTTAATAATACCGTATTCCCCCGGATAAAACACCATAGGTTGTTAGTAAAAACTCATGTAAATTTGGGGGGGGGGGGGGGGGGGGGAGGGGGGGGGGGTAAAATTAAAGGCACATTTTGTATAACACCCAGGGGCTATGGAATGACATTTTTATGTTTCTGAACCGGGATTGAACTGCGTTGTACACAGAGTTCTTTTGGGCCTTATTCGATGATTCTCGCACGTGATCACGTATATGGCGAGAAGGACCATCCCCATGCCACGTTACAGGCAAATTGTCATAGGTTGCCTACGTTATAGGGGCATTCTGTCACCTGGGGGTGGCAAGTGGGAACCTCCATGCCACAACGAGACAACGAAGGAATCTGCTGCAGATTCCTTCACGACCCAACCAGGGCCGACCTGCCCACAGATTCTCCCGTGCTGTAGTGTTGACTGCTAAAACTATGATGTTAGAGCGTGTTCCCGTAAGCCTCGTATCGGGCTCGCCCATATCAGTCTCGCAATATTCGCTTGAGTGACGACAATTCCAACCGTAGTAACTGTTGTACACTACATTGAACCACTTCGCATCAAGCTTGCACTGCTCAGTGACGCGTGAGTCTGATAAGAGGCACTCTGATAAGAGGCAAAATCTATAGAAAACCAGTGCAAATGAGCAAAGGGGGTGGTGTATTGGTTTCATGCCAAAAACTAGGGTGGTATGAATATCCTGTTTAATGAAGCACCCAGGTCCGCCCCAACCACCCATCCATGGGTGATAGCCATGATAGCCATGATAGCCATGATAGCACCGTCGTTCGAAGCCATGATAGCTCACTAACATAATATCCCTTGAAATTATCAAGAGAATGGTTGATTAGAGGGAGATGGGGAACACTGATATGCACAAGGGAATAGGGGTTAGGGTTAATTTTGTTACGCTATGTGTATTGGGCAATTCCATAATGTATGGGGAACAGTTGTACCCAATAAGGAATTGCTTGTATTCCTGAAAGTGACACTCGAGCTGTAACCCGTGTCGAGTTGAATTCTATGACGAGAACCGCGAAGTGCAACAACCGTTGGCCGTTGACCGACAGTCAAACAGGCAGAAGTTCAAGGGTCCGTCACGACAGCGAGGAAACGGAACTGATGTCAAGATACACGCTAAGGTTGCCCTTGGTCCTCGGGGAAGGGTCACAGTGTCAACATATTTACATATTGTTATAGGCTAGATAGGTGTGTGCTATGGTGGTGCTTATAACAAACCCCGTCCCTTCGCGCCAGCCCTGCCACTCCGCGCTGGCCCTGTCCCTCCTTGCCGGCCTTGCTAGTCCGCACCGGCCCCTAGTTCCTAGCACCCGCCCTAGTCCCTAGCTCGCCGCTGGCCCTTCGCACGCCACGCGAGCCCACTGGTCCCTAGCTCGCTGCTGGCCCAAAGCTCGCCGCTGGCCAGCAGCTCGCCGCTGGCCCCTAGCTCGCCGCTAGCCCTTTGCGTGCCGCGCGAGCTCTCGTCCACTGGCCCCTAGCTTGCTGCTGGCCCTTCATGTGCCATGTGAGCCCTCGCCGACTGGCCCCTCGCTCGCCGCTGGCTCTTCGTGCACCGCACGAGCTCTAGCCCGCTAGCCCATAGCTTGCCCACCGGCCCTAGCTCGCTCGCCGCCCCTCACGCGCTCGCTGGCCCTAGCTCGCCGGCCCTAGCTCACCGGGCCCAGCTCGCCGACCC